CACAAAATATTTAACTTATTCATCTTACTAGTTTCATGGTGGCACAAAGAACGGGAGCGGTTACAAAGGTTTCCCTTTTCATTCTGCTAATGAGTGGATGATGACTTAGATGTTTGCAATGTGACAACAACAATGAAAAGGTGGGACTACTTTGTCTAAGTTTAGATTTATAAATGAATGAATGAATATATCTTCAAAAAAACCTCAAATATCAGCAATGGGACCGTAACACATACATACCACAGTAACTTCTGAATTCAAGATGACAGCATTAAAACAATAAACCTTAAGCATTCAGGAACTTTGCTATTTACCATAATTATCTGGCACTTTTTAAATGAGGGAGAGAAAGGCAAAGCTGATAATGAAATTAAATCTGAAGGAGCAGCTGCAAAAACATGTTGGAACCACACTGATTACATCAGATAATCAATTCAGCACGTTGGTACATTAAAAAAAGAAGTCATTCCAAAATTTAGAAGTCATTGGATAATTATGAATCACCCCATAGAAAATGTGTATTGCAAATCCCATCCAACTGAAATTCTTCTGAAATGCCAGTGATTACTGTGTCTTCCACAGGAGAAGCCCTTCTCTTTGAAACTGGCTGGTTCCCTGAAAAGGCTTAAGGAAGGAAATAACAGTGGTGAGCAGTCTACACCATGAAGCTATTACCTGAGCTGGAAACAGAACGCATTCATTCATTAACCTTCATCTCATTTGAGGCTAAGGGCTTAATCAACCTCCTTGCTGCACTTTGAGCTTAAATCCACTTGGAACTGTATCTTCTAATACTCTGCTCACGTAGGGAGCACAGTCTCTGAGTTCCAACTTTGGTGTCATTTTTTTTTTTTAAAGAGGACCAAACAGTGCAGTAGAAGGACGAAAACAGGAACGCGGTATAATGCTGCATGTGGACAAAAATGTCATAGTAAAGTCAATTGTTTTGTCGGCCTATAAATTAAACAAATAAAAATGAAAACAAGCAAAAAAAAGTAGCAGAAAAAAGGACCCAGCTTAAAGTCACTTTCAAGGCAGTGAGTCCCCAAACTTTTTGTGCATTCAGAGTATTTATTTTTCGTAAAGATAACTGTTTGTCACTTTGTTCAACCGTAAATTTCCAATGATCTGCCCTCGTTTTCTTGTTGCAAAGCACTCAGACGATATTTTATAGAAATCCACTTTTTCTTCGACCTTACATTTCAGCAGTTTGTGTTATGACTATTAAATTGTCCTGTGATGAACACAGCTAACGAGCACACAAGGACACATAGCTTTGGCTGGCTTTTCTCTGTTGCCGTCTGCGTCCCCAGGATGCAGATACCAGGCCAAGGTCTAACCTGTGAAAGATATTCAAATATTTGTTAATTGGACAAGTGATGGCACATAATCTCCTTGTCTTAACGATGACAGGACGAAGAGGAGCAAAGGGTCCAGAGTTATAGCCAACCTGTGGTATATAGGCCACATGCACCCCAGGACAGCTTGAAATGTGGTTTGCCACATAATTATAAACTTACTAAAAACGTTACAAGGGCCCTCTCCCTCCCTCCCTCTCTCTCTTTCCTTTTACATTTTGCAGTGTAGTTTCACAGCTTTCCGGCATGAACTTTGACAAGGTATTCTCGCAGTGTCCAAAGGATGGACACAACACCATGCTAGAAGGGAGCCCATCACCACCTTTACAGAATACGATACTCAATTTGTGTGTTTCTCAGAAAGAATGGGGATTCTGCTCTTACAGTAAGTCAGTCACATGGTGGCTCCTGAGGAGTGCATCAAAGTAGAGTAACTTTGATTAAACATCTGGCTTGGCAAAAACCTCTTCCTTGCTGTCTGCAGAAAGCTGGGCATGCCTTCCAACTTTCCTCTAGGAATTAACTACCTTCCTCCATGTTGACCTGTAACTAATTTAACTCCCCATTGTCCAGAGAAGCCTTGTAAACATCTGAAGCTGTCTGTGGGGGCCCAGCTCCTGAAGGGTGATTAGTAACATGTTCTCTTTAGTGATTCTTGGGACATTTGGAATCAATTAAATATTCAAATATAGATTTTTCTTAGATCTCTAGCCAGGCCCAGCAGGTTTGTGCGGGGACGGAGCTGGAAGCAGATAACTGCTATTCCTCACCCCAGAATCTATAGTTGGAGATAGATTTCAAAATATACTCTCTAGACCTCCTGGGTCTTCGAGTAAATAATCATACAAGATTAAAAATCATATAGAAAAACAGAAGCAGTCCTGTACAGAAGGAGTTGCTGTTTTTACAAGCACTGCAGAAAGATGAACTCTATGTGAATGTAGCAGGCTTGGAAGACGGCACTGAGGTTGTTGAAGTGCAATAGAATATTCTGGACTAGCTGAGCATAGGTTTTACAGTTTTATAATATTGGAGTAAAAACAAAGACAGTATATGAGAATATATAACATGGGTTGACAATGACTCACCAAACCTGAAATATGCAGTTAGCTTTCTGCAGAAAGAGGCTACTGGTTCATGGTTTAGAGTCCTTTCCATCAAACATAGCTAATCATTACTGTTCCTGATCGATATTACTACGACTGTCATTATTAGCATGTTTTTGAAACAGAAGTGGATGCATGCCTATGTTACCATCTGTCTAAACGCTTGACTCTCTCTGACACATTCATTTCATTGACCAGTCCTTTGAAGTAGGTAGTTGTCAGGCAGCAAAATAGTTCAGTGCTTGCTATAGATGCCTGATGATCTGAGTTTGATCTCCAGAACCAAGGACAAGGTGGAAGGAGAGAGCAGAATCCACAAACTTGTTCACTGACCATCATATGTCTGATGTGGCACAGACATATATACACGACCAGAAACTTTACAATGGACATTGTAGCTGATGCCAAAGCAAGGAAGACAATGTTTCAGAATGGTTATGTAATTTTCCATGATCACTAGAAGAGTTAAGTTGGGGAGTGACTAACTAAACCCAGTGTATCTGGTATGCTAAGAAATGAAACCCCTTTCCCAGATAATTGGTAATTGGGAACTCCGCTAGATTAAGCAATGTGGGTGATGTTCAAACAGCAGACTAATGATTGTGCTGCCAATAGGACCAACCTGCTTGAATGAAGTCAGTTTTAAAACCAACCAACCAACCAACCAACACATTACAAAGGCAAGAATAAGGAGGGGAAAATGGATTTCACTTTACTTATTCCAGGCTTGCTCTACCAGTATTTGCTGAGAGTAAAAGTATCAAAGTAATGGAACTGTTTCTCTTACTATGTTGCGTGGTCGAAAGATCATGAGTGAGTTATGGGAGAAAGAAAGAGCTGGAATGATCTTCCCATGCCGCTGCTATGGGCCTTCGATTCCATCAGGCACAGTAGTGGAGAAGACATCTTCCAAATGGCAGCTCATTTTATCGTAATAGCTGGTGTTTGCAGATAAGTTTCTTTTCCCATCACTATAAATTAATATATCCTATTTTACTGTGGTGCCACAAACAAGAACGCTGAAAGGCTCAAAAGGTCCACATCCCCTGAAAGGCATCGGGTATCACAGTACAGCCAGAGAAAGATGGTATTAAACGAAAAAGGGAGCTCCTTTTTAATGAAGCCGAGGTGTAGGACAGATTTATTAGCTTCTATTTTTCCAAGCTGCATTCTCGTGTACTTCCTGCCCATATTTCCAAGTGAAGCAGGTCTCTTTGTAGGATGACCTTCTAAAATACATTTCAAAGGATATAGCGTAGCTCTGCCCACTATGCCCTCGGAGACACACTTGTGATGAGAGGACCATTTGCTGTACTCAGAAGGTGATGCTCTAAAGGAAAGCAGACCTTTAGCATGATCTGCCAAGACTGTTCCAGTCTGGAGAAGAAACAGTATTTTTAACCAGGTACAACAAGTTCTTAAAAATAACAAGCATTAGCTCCGCCCTAATGGTTATTAAACTAAAGGGTACCGCCTGTCATTTACTGTTTTCATTGAGGTGACAGGACAAACAAAAAATGACGTTATTAAGCTGATGCTTCTGATGTTAAAACATAGAAGCCTATAATATGCCCATTTTGGCTGAACTATTTTTATAAAACATTTTTATTTATATTTATTATATATGTATATACTTAATAAATAAAATTCATATATGTATGAAATATGTATTTTATAAAACATACGTAAATGTATTTATAATTCATTCTTTGTTGCTCTTTTTCACTGTCAGTTACACTTTAAATTTTGAGGGAGAAAATTTACTTTCTTTGGATAATTCTTTTAAATTGTCTACCAGCCCTGGAGTGAACAATTAGTGCACTTTAAGCAAAGCTAAGTCAGGGGAAACAAAACAAGAAGACAGAATTGCTTCTGCCTAAAGGTCCACCTGCTGGACATGTGTCGGGGAACATATGAAGAGATGATCTGAAGGCAAGGGCCTGGATGACTCTTCTATATTCAGGGCAGTCTAAGAGGGTTGTGGCCAGACATTTGCCTGTTTAACTAAGATTGTAAGTTTGTTTTTCATTATTTCATGCACTCTCTTTCAACGTGTCTAGTCCACTCTGCTGGGCTGTGGCGGCTAGAGTTCTTTCCATTCAACAAGACTGAGAACAGGCATGTGACAGTTTGTGGAGTGTCTCCAGTGTGTCTTATAGAGCTTACAGTTTACGGATGATCTATCAACTCCAATAATCTATGTCCCTTTGGGGAATTCCAGCCCTACATCACTGCTACATTTATATACTTAACACTGACGTTTGAGTAAAAGACTTCTACAGTAGGAAAAGGAAAACCAAAAACAAAACAGCAGAAAGAGGCTAAGAAAACTTACTGCAAGGTTAACTGGAAAACCATCCCAGGTTTGAAAGTGCGTTAGGACACAAGGTCATAGATTGGAGTTTTATAAACAAAGTTTCCGAGCAGTATACAAGATATGACAGGAAGAACACGGGTACAGCATGGCTACAAAAGGCCAGGGAGGACAAGCTATGAACTGCACCCAGATACTTCTAAAGAAATGCACACCGAGGAATCGGCCTCATACATTTATTCTACGTAATCATTTATGTGCACACACTAGGCATACTATTTCCACAAAACAGGCATTGTAGGAAAAATTCTTAACATCTCATTATGAAATCCAAAAAGTTTTTGAAAACCCTCTCAAGGTATCTTTTAAATTGTGGATATCTTCAGCATCTGTAATTTATGATTGCCCAATTATAATTTTTAATAATAAAACAGAATGGTTTCGCTCACTTTAGTTATTTAACTTTATTAGCCCACCTAACAGTGCCCTTCAAATACTCATGAGTATCTCTCAGCAGTATTACCGTAAAACCCAAACTGTGTTCAAGGAGCACACACTCACAACATGTTGCTCCCGACCAAGGCTGTGATGGATAGTCTTATAAATAGCCCTTTTATCTTTACTCCTACTTTAAAATGCCGACCATCACTTCACTGATATCCCACAGTTTTCTTGCAACTGACTCATCCATAGCTTTGGGCAATAGTTCTTCCTCCTTACAATCTCCAAAGTACTTTCCAGATACCCCTTCCACCTCGGGTGAGGAGGCTAAGTAGATGGAGGTCTGGGCACCTTCTAGCGGAGATTTGAAAAACGCCCACGATACCAAATTGAAAAGTGGTCTGGCCAACAGTGGGATGTGTATGTGCCTCCCGAGGTTTGTCCGCACAATACCAGGATGCAACACATTGACAGTCACGTTTGTGCCTTCTAAGCGACGGGCTAGTTCTCTGGTGAAAAGAATGTTAGCCAGTTTGCTTCGACTATAAGAGAAGCTTTTATTATAGCTCTGTTCACTGTTCAAGTCTTCAAAGTTGATGTCTCCATATTTATAAAGTTTGGAAGAAACGACGACAATCCTGCTGGGAGCGGAACTTTTGAGGAGGCCAAGCAGAAGATTGGTGAGTAGGAAGTGGCCCAGATGGTTCACTCCAAACTGCATCTCAAAGCCATCTTCAGTCTTCATGTATGGGCACTGGAAGATCCCTGCATTATTGATCAGGACGTCTAACCTGGGTTCCTCCTTTAAAACCAGAAAGAGAATGCAGAATTAGGAACATGCATTTTCCACAGAGCTCTTTTCACTCAGGTCTGTTTTCCTAACAATGAGAAGAGTTTGAGACTAAAACTAATCTCAAGTTCTAGCCTATGTATTCAGTAACTGTTTGAAGCACTGTCAACCTTAGACTTTCTACAACTTAATGATTATGAATGCATATACTCATACGTTTCACTCAGATGTTGATGATATAATTATCAAGGTCTTTTTTTTTTAAACAGAAATACAGCAAATTTGGAGGTGAGTGACTCCTAGGATTGTATGTGTTCTCTTAATTTCAGTTGAACTAGAAAAATATCAGTTTGATGTTGTTATGTCAAAGTTATAATGTGTCCCTGTAATAAACCTAAAAAATCATGCAAAATATGAAAAAAGACTTTTAAGGCAATCTTACATGATTAGGAGGTGCCTGCTTGGTCCCTTTCTCAGATAACCTTATCTACTTTTAATGTTCTTTAATGTTCTTAAGTTCAAGGCAGACCCAAGTGACTTGGTCATTGTCACCAGGCTTCTAAGAGGCAAGTCAGAATCAGCCTGAAGATGAAATCCTTAGATTCCAAAGCCCATTCTCATAATTAGTAACCTAGCCTGGCCTTCTAACTTCTAACTGGTCTGTTTAAAACAGAGCTTCATCTCCTGAGTAAATTGGGAGCATGGGGACACTGGGAGAGGGTTGAAGGGGAGGGGAGCAGAGAAAAATGTAGAGCTCAACAAAAATCAATTAAAAAAAAAACAAAACAACAACAGAGCTTGAGTCAAGGTGAGCACGGCAGACCACTTCCAGCAAAGGGCTGGTTTTGTGACTCCCACCTTACTGGTATCACCACCAATGGTAAATTAAGATGCTTTACTCTGAAAGCCTGTTAAGTATAAAATGTCACCACAGGGACAGAACTTCAAGGCAGTTTCCCAAAATTGGGATAAAGAACGGTCAGAGAAGTAAACTTTGGACTAGAGCGAATATTGCTAAAAAAATCAAGAAAGGTTAATCAAATCATTGAGTGGATAACATCAAAATATTAGTAACAACACAGGACCATGATGGAAGCCAGGAGTATAAGAGGTAGAAGAGATAGCATCAACAGACACCATTAACCATCACTGTGGTTCCAAAACAGGGCCCTTTCTTCCCCATATGAAATCTCTTCCAAGCACCATACACCTCCACATCTTCCCAAATTAAAGTCCGAAACTGCACTGTTCTCACAGGGAGTCTTTTCATTCCTTACATCATTTAGGTCGGTTTTCTTTGGCTCTTTCCTGGCTCCTCTGTCTCCTCTGATGACAGAGGGAAAGAAATGCACAATGTGTTCCAGGTGTAAAGTCACAGTGATGACCTATGATTAAATTAATTTCAGGTCAAATTTCAATTCTCCCTCTCTCTCTCTGCCAAGTGTACGTGAAAAAAATGTGTTAAATTTCACAACTGTTATCAAAGGCTACCTGTCGGTTAACTGTTTCTCATTCTGGCCCGAGGAAAAAACTTTCATGTTTTGCACCAGTCAACTTCAAAAGGGGAATATGAGTTCACAGATACGGGGAAGGAAGGAGTGTTCATCTTCGCTAATCTTCTGGAAAGGGCTCCAGAATTAATCACTTCTGACCTATCATTCTTTGCTAGGTTTGTGTTAAGACTTTATCATTTATTATTTTTTAAATTCTAGAAGATAAATGGCATAAATTCCAAGAATACCAAACAGTGAATGTCAAAAACCTCCATTTCTTTTACCTTCTAATTATAATCACTGAACTTCAGCGCCAAGCAAGAATGTAAATACTTAGGGTAACACAACCTCTTTTTCTGTTCCAAGCAGCAAAGGTATCAGGAATGAACATGCTCAACCCTATACATGTCAGTGATCAGAATGACCTGCTTTCTATGCTTCCAAATCTCCCAGAGACTAATATTGCTACTTGATCTGATACACGCAAATGACATGTTAACAACCAATTTCTTTGACCTGCACCAGCTCTAAACATGCAACATGCTTCCCTAGAACACAACAGGAGCTTGCTGTGAATGGTTTAAGTTTTGAGGGGAACAGTGATACTCTCTACTCATTATCTCAAAAGCTACTACCTCTAGGTAAGTGGTTTAGTATGGGCTTTTTTCTGATGACATGATTTCTTTGTACAGCGTTGTGTTTAACAGTTATTAACAGCTATGGTCTTAGAAGCAAGGGCAAAACTAAAACAATCTACGCAGAACAAGAAGGAGGGTGGCAATGTCCAAGCTGACCTGGGGACTGGGAAAGTTCCTACAGTGGCAAACAAGCACACTGTTCCATTAGCAATCACGACTACATAGAGTTAAACAAGAAACTTCTTTTTGAGGGATGCCTATTATTGGACCGTTAGAGAGTTGTTAGGACATGCAGGCTTAGGCTGCTTAGATCTAACTGCTAACAAATGAACTTCCAGATATTTCTTTGATCTAAGTACATCATGGGGGAAAAAAAGCCAGACCCTCAGCTTTAGAGTCAAGAGATTCCAACTGAGACAAGCAGTCTCCCTGTGCCTGGTTGACTTTAGATCTACCTCTGGTAAGTCACCTTGGCCACAACCTTTCTACTTAAGTGGAACCTGTACCATGCACCCCTCAGCCACCAAGTACCAGGAAAGCAAAGACTGAAGAAAGACATGTTACTTAACCTTCCTATGTTTCTGTTCCCTATTACGAGGTGGAGATGTTAATGCTTGATTTAATAGAATTAAAGTCGAGATCTGACAATAACTAATGGTGTGCTTGGCACATCTGTCATACATCAAATGTTCAATAAAGCTAGGCATGATTTTTATTCCTGTTCTGCTTAGGGCCATAAAGAGGATTCCAAATTCCATTTTCTTTGGAAATGGGATAGAATCTAGTTAGGGATGATGCAAAGGTTGTCAATCAGCAAGAGACACTCCCTACTTTAGCAGAGCAAACCAAAAACAAAACAAACAAAATCGGGAAATGGGAATAAGAAAGAAAAACAGCAAGGAAACATTTACAAGGGGCCTAACCAAAGCTCTTGGTGAGCTTTTCTCCTGCAGTGCTCTCAGGCCTTGGGACACCATGGAAGATCTGGCACACATTTTACTTCTGACACAGGAAAAACAATTCAAACACGGGGTGATGATTCCTGGACTGTCCTTGCCTAAGAAAACGGAATGTCCAGACACTAGCTTATTTATTCACTTCCTCTGGGGACCTCCCAGGAATTCCTTCTGGAACCTGCCCCTCCTCCCAGCAGGGTCCCCCACAAGCAGGTGTCTTTCTCAGCCCTGCCCACTCTCAAGGTCACACCAGGCAGGCCTCAGGGGCCCCTCCCCCGTGGGTGGCTGGGCTTCAGTAGACCCACACCTGCAGCAGTTCTTGGCAGAAGGCTCGCACTGAACGTAGAGAGGCAAGGTCCAGCTCCTTGACGACCAGCTGGCCTTTGGTGGCGTCGGGCTCTTGACCCCCAGCCTGGCCGAGCTCCTGGCGGAGCTGACCCGCCGCCTCCTCAGCTCTCCCGAGGTCCCGACAGCCCATGATGACCCTCGCCCCAAGGCGCAGCAGCTCGGCCGCCGTGGCTCGGCCCAGGCCGCTGTTTGCCCCGGTGATCAGCACTGTCTTCCCGTGCATGAGGCTCTGGTCCCCGCCTCCCTGCATCCGCTGGCCCCTGACCCCCGAGAACCGCCGCACGGCCAGCCACAGCGTCCCACCCAGTGCGGCCAGGAGCGCTGCAGCCACAGTGGCCACAGCCATAGCCTTCCGGGCAGGGTGCACGGAGCCTAGAGCACGAGTTCCGGTATCCAAAGGGCCACTGCACGCAAAGGACTCTGGGGCGCCGCCTGCCGTCCTGGGCTATTGCGCGCGCGCGCGCGCGGGGCTTGCTGGGATTTGTAGTTCCCCCCCTGAGGGCACCTTGAAGTAGAGTTCATCTTAGAAACCACCCTGTGGAAACCACTAGTGGATTCATTTAGAAGCTGACAGTGTTAAAATTAGCATGCGACTGCAGACGACGGGACGTTTCTCACTTTGATTTTGTTAAACGGCTGGCCGCACGGAACTAACAAAGGAAACAGCCTTAGTTTCCAGTAATGTTCTTTTTAACTGGCAGATGACTGTTCTAGGTGATGATGGGTAGAAATTCATTCGGCCGGGTAACGTTAAAAACAAACAAACAAACAATGTTTTTAACAGTTAACTAAGCTTCTTGTGAACCAACTTATGAACTTATGTATGCAAATTCTAAATTTATCTAAAGAGCTGCCATTATGACTTATACAGATAGAGACCTACGATGGGATTCAGTACCCTTCAGAGAAGTAGCTTGACTGGAGCTTGACAGTTCAAAATGTTTTACAATAGCAGCAGCAACAACAGCAAAATAACGAGAAAGGAAGGAAGGAAGGAAGGAACGAACGAACGAAGGAATGAAGAAAGAAAAAGAAAAACACCACAAGGGGTTTAGTCTTGTGATCCGGTCTGCGGAAATACCTAATTACTCTAGACATCCAAAACGCAACCTTTCATTTTTCAATACCAGACTGTCACTGTTTATTTCTCCTCCCCATCCCTAGTTGCGTTTTTGAGCAATGCCATAAGGTACATGAGCTGTGATGGTGCCGAATTTCTGTGCTGATTCGATGTGGAACATCTGATCATCAAAGAAGATGTGGGGCCGAATCTTCACCAAGATGGGACCTTTGGGGGCTCCAGCCAGGAAAAGAGCTTCATCTATCTCTAGACCCCAGCGGCGAAGGGTCTTCAGCACACGGGCGCCTGAACTCGCCGCACTACGGGCTGTAACCAAGTAGGTCCTGATGGGACAAAGTAATCGTTCGTCTTTGGCATAGAATTTCTTCTGCAGTTTGCCTAAATCTTCCAGAAAGCCTTTAAGGGGTCCCTGGAAAAGAGAACATATGTCTCAGCTGTGAATGGGTGAATAAAAAGAACTGATGACTAACAAAATAGGATCTTATATGACCTAGTAAAATACACGATGCCAACTGTCATACAGTGATTCTGGGCTGACAGAATGGTGCCAAACTCTCTGCGTTTATGTGAAGGTATTTCCTGATACACAGCCATTCCTTTGCATGCCTGGAATAAGTCTTAGATAAGCACGTCATATCCAAATGAAGGTATTTTAAGTGTGAAAGAATGTTCAATAAATAAGTAAGCCAGGACAATAATCATAACCAGTGTGGTAACTGGGTGAAATATATTTCAGTGATTACCAAAACCACATTTTCCCCATTTTTTTCTGTTAGTGCATCTTTTACCTTTGAAATTACTGTCACTTTGCTTAGCTTGGTATTTGTTTATCCTGAGTCCAGCCCTGTCTTAAAGCTATATAAGTTTGTAGTTTTTACATTAAGGCATAATGTTTGTTTCTTTTTCTATGTTACTCCGGTCTTTACCATTGTTTTACGTTTAAATCCATGAGTAAATATATTTTATGCTCCTTTAGTGCATGCAGTCATTGACATACTGGACACATGTTTATGGAAATAATCTTTGAAAATTTAGTATATCATCAACCATACTGCTTGCTCTCCCTTCTTTACCTGAGTGAGGGTTTACCTGGACACACATTCCATGATTATATGCATAAGATGGAACTTGCATCATTAGACTTGGTGACCAGTACGCTTATCTTCTAAGCTACCTCACTGTCCCATTTTATGTATATTTTACAAATATATATATATAGTGTGCGTGTGTGTGTATATGTGCACATATGTATGGTTCACATATGGAGGACAGAGAACATGTCAGATTTGGTTCTTTCCACCATGTGGGTCTAGGACATTGATTACAGGTCATCTGACTTGGAACAGATACCTTTTACCTCCAGATGAGGCATCTTGCTGGTTATATGTAGTACTTAAAATATTTGGAATCTTTCTAAGATTTCAAAAACTATCTGAACTATGTATCATTTCCGAATAATAAATACCTGGATATTTGGAACATCAAAACTTTTCTTGCATATATCATACCACTAAATCAAAGGGTAGCCAACTTGGGCATCTTCCAGAGGAAGATGGTGGACAAGAACCTGCACATTTCCAGAGCAATGTGGGGAGTCCAGAGACTATACAAGCAGGTGTGAAAATTTCAGAACATTTAAAACAACAATAAAGGACAACACTGTGCTCTACTAACCAAGAAGTGCACTTTTGAAGTTTTCTCTGTGCTCTTCACTAGATTTCATGAGAAACACCGCAGGCAAGGAAGGAGACAGAAAAGGACATCCTAGTTGGAACAAGAGTTAGGGAGAAAGCCCTGCATTTGGGAAAGAATGAATCTTTATTGAGATCTCTAGACCTTGAGGGAAGAATGCTTAAGTTGTTAGAAGGGCTTTAGGCAGGCAGTCCAGGCATCCTTTCCCTGGAAAAATGAAAAGTGGCCTGCTCTTAGGGGTGACAGGAAAAGCTGTTAGATCCCAGACTACTGGGCATATCCTTTCACTGAGATTCAGGAAAGGTAGCACCATCTTAAAATTCCAGGAGCACAAAGCAAGCAGAGAAGGAAAGGACCGCTGACAGAGTGAGTTTGGTGATTTTTCTGCATAAACTTACAGAGAAGGCCTGACAGTTTGGGTTGAGAATGACCCAAGGAAAGATCAATTTACAGTTTTAGAACCAATGAGAAGAATTTGAAGTCTGTGACAGTATAAAGAAAGCCAGAGCAACAATAATAACTAGAAGTAGTTCAACTCTTGATTACATTGAGTCAGTCTATCAGAATAGATAGTAGAAAAGGAGGAATGACAATAAGCAGATTGGGACAGTATTTACCAAGGCCTTTAATTGTGCATTTGATTATATGTGTGTGTGTGCAAATATACATACATATATATATATATATATAAAATTGACACATATATATGAGAATACAATAAAACAAAAATTTGCTTTCAAAAGGAATTTAAAGAATTTAGACTTAATGATGACAAAAGTATTAAGCATATAATATAAAAATTGAAAATAACTCTTATTGATCCCTTTAAAAGTCCAACATCTACTTTAACAGAAGAAAACAATCATGAGTACAATAGTAACTTCAGCAAATAGTAGCTGATTATAATGCTAGAATTAAGCATTACTGTCCAGAAATCAAGGATGTCTTCAGATGAAGAGCAGCAGACTCATGAAGTTGAAGATAAGTAAAAATAGACAAAATATAGAGGTAAAAAAGAACAACACATTTAAATGCTGTGGGACTCACAAATACAAATGGGGCTAGGAAAGAGAGGAAGAGAGGCACACATGCGTGCACAGACAAAGAAGACATGAAAGTAATTGCACAGAGACAGAGAAAGAGAGAGATGGAGGCATATGCCACACAGACATACACACACACGCAGTCCATGCATACACACATGTAAGCATGTGCCTGCATGGTCACATACACACAGAAGGGGGAGGGGAGAACACATAAAACTAGTCCAACAAGACGTACAGAAAATCTTTATTAGTTAGTGAAAATAGACATAGTATATACTGAGAATCATAGTAGATAAAAGACACAAAACATATGAGGTCAAAACCTATGCAATAGACGTGTGTGAAAAAACAAAACAAAACATGGAGGGGCATCTGAAGGTTGCTAAAGAAAATTAAAGGAAACACACAGTTCTATAACCAGTGAAAATAAAATATACTTTTATTTTATTTTGTTGAGACAGGGTCTCCCAAGACGCACTATGTATACTAGGCTGCCCTTAGAACCCACAGAGATCCACTTGTCTCTGTGTCCTGATTTATGGGATTCAGGGTGCAGGCTAACATGCTTGCCTATGATGTAATAATAAACTTAGGAAGAAATAGAATTTTCAGGAAAGCAAACAGTAATTTTTGCTAGCATATATGTCCTACTGAAATGCTAAAAGAGGACCTGCAATTTTTAAAAGGAACAAATATATAAAAGACCATTTCTGTCTCATTCTTACCTTTTGTCATTGCCAAAGGCAAAAAGAGCATCAAGTTATTGTGAATTAATAGTAAAGAACATAAAATCAATATATGTCAACTGATGTAGGAGGGTCTTCTGTCTATGTGTTACTTTCATTGGTTAAATAAAGAAAATGCCTTGGCCTTTTGATAGGCCAGCCCTTAGGTGGGTGGAGTAGACAGAACAGAATGCTGGGAAGAAGAAAGCAGAGTCAGGCAGACACCATGATTCTCCGGCCCGAGTCAGAGGTAGGTTAGGATCTTTCCTGGTAAGCCACAGCCTCGTGGTGCTACACAGATTTAATGGAAATGGGTTTATCAAGATGTGAGAGTTAGCCAATAAGCGGCTAGAGCTAATGGGCCAGGCAGTGTTTAAATGAATACAGTTTTCATGTAATTATTTCAGGGATTAGCCAGGCGGCCAGGAACAGGGTGGTACGCGGCCTGCTCACTGCTCATCTTTGCAACAGTCAACACAGCACACAACAAGTTGGGGAGTGATCTGTGGCAAGGATCATATATTACAGACAAGGGATATAGGATTGTTTGACCAAATATCAAAGTTACATGAAGTTATGTATTACAAGACTTACAATAAACACAGGGGAAAATCTTTAATTAGTTATTAGTAGTATAAATACAGATGATTCTGAAATATGGTGACTAAACTAGAGACAAAAATTAAAAGATAAGACATGTTGAGGAAAGTTGGAAGACATTAGATTTTACTAAAACAGGTATTACTGATCTCATATACTTAAATGATTTCAAGAACACAGGACACAGCAGAAAACATCACAACAAACAAAGTACAATACAAACTATGTTTTCTGGTCACTAGAGTAAGTAAGACTTGTACGTAGTAATAGATATGTTGAAAAACCTCTTTAAATGTTTAGCAATTAAGTAACCTAATTGTAAACAACACACTCTACTTTAGTTTTAAGGAAATTAAAACAATAATGAAGAGAATAGTAATTTTCAATTGTATAATAAGCAATTCCAACTGATGTAAAAAACATATATATCATATGTTAAATATAAAATAAATAAAAAGACATGGACTTGTTGAAGGTAAAAGTACTGAAAATATATAATACGTACATTATCTAGAAACAGAAACATATGAATATCAAACTCGGGCATTGCATGAGAAAGAGAAGTTGTGGAATATGACAAAGAATATATACAATAATCTTAAATATGTGGGACTTAAAGTACAGTATACAAAAACTGATTAAAAACTGACAGAGGTCATAAAACACACCTGTAATCCCAGCACCTGGGAAGCTGACACGGGAGGGCAATGAGTTCAGTGAGCTCACAGAAAGCCTTGGTTTCAGAATTAGATCCTGTCTCAATCAATCAATAAATCTCCACTTATATTAAGATGCTTCAATACTGTCTTCTTGTGAATATAGCAAACAAGCAAGAAGATTTGACCATCTAAAGATGTGAGCTGATATAAGAGCCGTGCCTGTAGTTAAGTGGTGGCAGCATGAGGAACCAAATTGGAGCTCAAGCCAGTCAGGGGTGGCAGTGTAGGACTGTTATCTCAGCCCTAGGGAGGCAGAGACATGTGGATGCCCAGAGCTTGCTGTCTAGCTACTGTTATTGTAAATTCCAAACTCACGAAGGACAGTTATAGAGGAAGACACCTGACATCCATCTCTTGCTTCTATATGTACACACACACACACACACCTTCACATTAACATTGTCATGACTTTAATTAATATGCTTAATCTAATTTACACTTGTAGAATATTCATTCCAACAGCAGCAATGTATTATTTTCGAAGTACACAGTACATACTTGGTAGGTTATAACCTTCTCAGCACAAAATACAGCGCAACAAAGCAAAATACAAAACCTTTTATGTGGGGGCGGGTCACAATGGTGTAAGATTTGTGCATAGTAAGAGAGAGCCCTGTACAGGGGAAAATAGCCTCAACAAATATTTGGCCGTTAATTTACTTTAGTTGTAAATACACCCAACAGCAGGAAAGTCATAAGTTCAAATATTTTTTGAATTGAAATCAAATGGTACCACTTTTAAAAGTCAGGGAGATAAAACTACAGTCTACAGAGAAGACAAAATTCAAAAAGCCTATTTTAGAAAACAACCCCTCAAAAAGAAAGAAAACAAAAAGCTAAAATGATTGCAATCAGTGACCTCAGTCATCAGAAGAGAAATGTTAGGACATAAAGCTTACAAATCACAATCCCAGAGAACTTAGATAACAATGAGGACCCTAAGAGAGACATACATGGTTCTAATCTACACAGGAAGTAGAAAAAGACAAGATCTCCTGAATAAACTGGGAGCATGGGGACCTTGGGGAAGGGTTGAAGGGAAGTGGGGAGGCAGAGAGGGGAGCAGAGAAAAATGTAGAGCTTAATAAAAATAAACAAAAAAAATGTTAGGAAAGATACCTCATGGAAAAGGTAAATAAAAATGATAAATCATTGCCTATACTGACAAAAAAACCCAATAAAATTAAATGACAACAGTTAACTAATATTAGACATGAAACTGGAGAGACATCTCTAACTATTCTACAAACATTAAAGCCTTAATAAGACATTTACAAGTTTATGATTATAAAAATGAGAAATGAAATTGCTAATTCTCTTTGAGGAACACAAAGTAATTAACAAAAGAAAGGAATGAACTGAAGAACAAAGACTGAATGAACAGCAGGTTAAAGGCTTTTCAAGGTCAGGTGAGACAGTTCAGGAAAAATGTCGCTTCCTTTGGAAACCAGAAAAGGTATATTCCTGAGCTCACATGAAGGAGGAAGGAGAGAACTGACTCCACAAAGTTGTCCCTTGACCTCCATATGCACACCATGTCACATGTGCCTCAACCCCATCATCACACTACAACACTCAGAGACGCACATGCACACACGTGTGCGCATCTATGTGGTTTTCAATGTTGTTCAGACCTAGTTTGTTTAGAAAGGCTTACAAAAAATTTGCTTAGTTTTCATGTATTTTGTGAAACCATTATTACTTTACTAAAATGAGATATCATGAGTAAACTATAGAGTACTTCCCTCATACATATGAAGGCAAACAACTTCTCAATTCTACAGACTGGATCTAGGAATATATAAAAAGGATCACACTATATGGCCATCTCGAGTGTATCCACAATGTGGAACTGCCTCAACAAATTATAAAGCCTTTAGTGAATTTATATGTCAATGACTTCCCGAGCCATTTGATTTTCTCAGTGAATGGTACAAGTGCATCAATCAAAATCTGACATCCGTTCTACAAACCCTTAAAAGTGCACAGTGAATAGCAGCAGCCTCAACTTGATAAAGGATATCTGCAAAGATCCTACAGACACATTATTGGAAGATTGACAGTCCTCTGAAGGACAGGGATGGGTGCTAGGTTGGCCCTGCTCATGGATATTACTGAACATTAAATGGATCAAATTCAGTGTGAAACTGGATCATCCATCAGTTCAGATTTAGTTTGGATACCATTTCATGCTTCTATTTTCATTCTCCTCAAATGTCCATTTCAGATCTTGAATTTTAATATGTCATGAAATGGATTTAAAAAAAAAAACCATGGAGAAACCCTGTCTTGAAAATCAAAAAAAAAAAAAAAATCAAAACCAAAACCAAAACTCCCAAATACTTGTTTTGGGCTTGTTAGGTATGTTGAGGCTAATTATTTACTTGGATCCAAGATTTTAGTCTTGAAGCTCTTCTCAATTAAACAAGTGTCATTCTTGAATTTGGGGGTCACAGACTGACAACCTCAGAAGATGTTTCCTGAGTGGTGTATTGGAAAGTACCTGTTTTGAGGGCTGAAGATTTTGGAATAGCTTCTTGGTATGCTGTGCTGTATTACAAGGACTTGAAGAGGGCTAACTCATCAGTAACGGATTACAGAAGTGTTTCCAAAAGGGTAAATAAAAGAATGTTCAATTTGAAAGTCAGTGTTGTCAGCAGTACATGTTCCAAAGTAAGGAATTCATAAACAGAAGAGAGCAGAGCACAAAGGGACTGGAGGGGCCACCTAAAGTTAATTAAAATTCCATCACAAAAACCAATATCTATACTCGCATGTTGAAAGAGAAGCAGATGAAGAAACCAAGCTTGGTAAACTTACCTGAGCAAGAGGCTTATTCTCAAATAATGTTTCATGTTGGAAGAATTTGTCCAGCCCATGCTCCTTGGCAATATGTTCAGACTCATCAGAGAAGAGGACAGCATCCCCATCAAAGGCCACACGGAGCTGTGTGTCACAATAAGCCATGTCTTTGGCTCCAGCAAACATGGTTGCAGAGGCGATGCCTGAAATCATATGGAGAGATTAGCGCTCTTCTTAAGCCTATGGGTTTTATTTTCTTACAGTAAAAACTCCTCCCCCATGGTGATACTGCTTCTGTAGCAACAGCCACATAATTCCACTCCTGTCCATAACTACAAATCTCAGAACAGAGATCTATGCACTGCTTCTGTTTATACCGGAATGGGGGTTGAACAAGAGTTGTGGAATAATCACTGGAAATGATCCCTTCCAGGAATGTTAAATCCCTATGGGGTGCCACATATATAAAAGAACTAGCCAAAGACCCAATAAGCTGGTGAGCCACCTAAAGCTAACCCAAGGCCATTGACCATCTGAGTAAACCCAGAAGAATGAACCCAGGTCTTTACCTTCTTTTATTGCTTCTTGTACTTTTTCAGAATCCGCAGAAAGATACAAATTGGTAAGATATGCCTTCAAATAGCCAATGGGGCTTTTCCCACCCGTCAAGCAGAATCGGTCAATTAGTAGACCTAGTTTTGGGTGAGAAAGACTATGTTATGGTCCAGTGTAAAGATACAACAGTGGTCCAAATGACATTTACTGGAGGCATGAAAGTTCGTATTAGTTAATCCATGTGAGTTCATCTGTAAGCCTAACTGGATATTATCGTTTAATAAATTATTGAAAATGACTTTCACCGCAGCAGTATGAGGAAACCTCTCAGACACTTCATATTCTATGCTTGGTATACTAGATAGTTTATGGAACACAGTCACATAGACCATGTCGGTTTACTCAAAATCACGTGGTGGATATTATTCTCTTTATAGAAAAGGATGCTGAAAAGGCTTGACCAATTTGCTGGTTCACAGACAAAGGGCAGACTGCAGCACGCAGGTTTAACTATGATAATCCTCTCTTTTTTTAACTAAGCCTCTTTCTTGCATATTGAAAGAGGACTTTAAAGGTATATCCTTATTTTGAATATCACTTCTGCATTTCTTTAATGCAGTACTAATAATACATTGCTCCTGGACTTAAACTATTTTCTAAAGTTAATCAGAAAATTTCACTCCTTCTTGATTAGAATATTTGATTGTAGCTATTAGCAGATTGATATTAATATTCTCTGGATTTTCTTTCTTTTTTTTCAGTAATGGGACTTATACTAGGAGCATAATATATGTTAGGCAAACACTCTACCAATGAACTACCACGTTCCTTTAATTTTTTAAAAGTGTTAAGTAAGATACGGTTAAGTTGCTCATATTGGTTTTCAACTTGCTATTGTTGCTGTTTAGCTCAGGAAGGTCTTGAGTTCAAGGTAATTCTCTAGCTTCTGGCCATAGTCTTCTGAAAAGTTGACATGATAAGCCTATGCTCTCAAACTCCAATTAATATACCTTTAAATACCTTCCAACAATTAAAAGAAAAGGATGGACTGTTCAAAAGATTTTTGTAAAGCCAGCATCCGAATATGCAATGAATGAAAGAATGGATTGGTGTGATTCCTTTTTGAGAGTATTATTCTAAGGAAATAATACAAAGATTTGGTAAAGATTTATGTATAAAGTCTGAATTTAGGATTGTGTTTTAAAGAAAATGTATTCATCGATGTGAGATGGTCATGCATATGATAAAATTCTATGTACTTATTTACACTCAGCTTTAAATTTAGGATAAATTGGGGAATTACACTATCTAGATAAAGCAAAACCCAGGGTTTATTTAGCTATTTAAAGACCAAACTCGATGGGCAGCAATGTGGGTAGGAGTATCTGCTTGGCATTAATAAAATATTACCAGATTTTTAGATGATCCAATGTTGGGTATAAGTGACTCAAAAGTGGATCTTATAAACCCTTAAGTAACATCAACATAATATCCTGGGAAATATGTACTGGCTCTAGGACTTAAACTGAATGAAAACTCTGTTTTGTTTGTTTTATTCTCAAAGGGATCCCAGTTTACTGTGAACCAGGCATGTAAACTGTAGCAAAGACTACAGTAGAGATAGACACAGGTTGTTTCCTGTACCCTAAAGAGGTAAACTACTAACCCTTCCAAGGTAGGGACTGTAATTCCATAGAGAAGGCAAGAAGGAAAGGTGTACCGACAGGTTTATCAACAGAATTCCTACAGAAGAAACTGGAAACCTCAGTATTTTTAACATGCTGAAGGACAGATAGACCAATATCACTTACTTAATCAATAAGACTAGGTATGATTGTGCACACCTATAATCCCAGTACTAGGAAACTGAGACAAGATGATCTAGAGCTAGCCTGGGCTACCTAGTAAGGGCCTATGTACAAACAAACAAAAAGCATCAAAATATTCTTTATTTACTAAATGAATATTATATATGTCTCAGAGCCCTTGACACAAATTTTCTCTTTTCAATTTATAACATTACATACACACACACACACACACACACACACACACACACACACAGATATATATATGGTTGCATTATTAAAATACATTTCAGGTGCCAATTTTATAATTAGAGTCATATGAAATAATAAAATAAAACTCAATAGCTAGAGTAATACACCTTGGTTAATGCCTAATTAAACCTAGGATTTCTATGTGCACAAGTTAAACCTGATATTTATGTGACATACCCACAAGTAGATTCATTACTAGCAAACAAGACAATGATGTCCCAAAGAGGATGTTAGGTAATTTCAAAATAGAATAAAAGGGGGAAACTTTACAAGAAAATGACACATTGATAGAAATGTTCAGAAGGCTAGCGCCAATAAAATTTTTCCATGTAAAGTAATAAAGACAGTTTTTTCCTGTAAGAATATGATTTGTGTGTGGGAGAGAGAGGGCAGCCAGGAGCATCCAATTTTAAGAAGTGGAAGGGGAGGTGAAAACCTTTAAACCCTTAACATGGATCTGTGGTGAGTAAAAAGTTTGATCCCACAGAAAAAGCCTCTGGGCTGACGGCTCCTTGAAGTCAAGTTCAGAAGTGAAAAACATAAAGCAGAGAAATATATTGAGGACCTGGGATTAAGACTTTGAAATTCACACTTGACAACTTAAGTCCAGAGCTTTGAGCCCAGCTCTGCGCTGAAGTTAAAAATGAGCATGGCCTTTCTTGTTCTGACATAGGCAAATAAACATTCCCCACGCAGAAGGGGTTGTCGCTATCAAAGACACTGCAGCGGTTTAAGCCACAGTTAGCAAAATAGCATGGCCTCTTTTTTGCAGAGCTGTGAGCTGGTCTTCCCACATGGTATTTATTTTACTTACCATAGTGATTGACGCTGTTTATAAGCCGTACTCCCACTTGGGCATGGTTATTAGTCATCAGTACTATATCAAATAAGTCTTGTTCTTCAGGATACAGATCACGGAGTCTGGAGTTGACATGCTGCAACGCCTGCAGGTTACAAACATGGGCATATGAAAAAGGGGAGGCAAGGTAGGCGTTAGGCAGCAGGAGGAAACAGCACCTCGGCAGGGCCGGAATCAAGTTCGACAGAATCCTGGCTAAGCAATCGCCGTTCCTTTAAGAGATGGTTATTTTACCATTCCGATGTTTTATGACTCCCACACATAGATTTCAGTCAATGCCCATGGCACAGATGGGTTATGTCCTTGGGATGTTATTACAGCATTCTGCTTACTAGAATTATCTCATGGGTGGGTAGAGAAAAAGATCAGGCTATTTATCCCGTTTATTGTTTGCCTTCTGGTTTGTCTATTTGTCTTCGTTTATAAATTCTGATTTTATTGTGAGGAATGGGAAAGGCTTGGGAATTTGCATGTCACTTGTATGCAGGAAACAGATCGAGGCCGATTAATAATCTCAATTATTTTGTTTTGTTTTTGAATTGCTATGGAAGGGAGATAATAGGCTGTGATTTATTTATTTTAATTTTAACATTTACTTTTAATTGTGTGTGTGTACATGTGAGAATGTAAGTGCCCACAATGTGTCAGATTCCCTGGAGCTGTAGTTACAGACAGTTGTAACTTGCCCGATATGGAGATTGGGACCCAAAGTCAGGTCCTCTTCAAGTAGTGTCACCCTTTAATACCACACTCTTCTTGCGAGCTCCTTAATCTATTTTTTTTGTATATTTTAAACGTATGTTTTTCATAGGCTTGTGGTTTCTCCCCATGCTTCTACATGTCCTGCGAACACCTTTTACTCCAAACCATAGAAGCGTCATTGGCTTTCCCATAGTGTGCGATTGAGGGTGTGACTACCCTATAACTTACATAGGAGATTAGTTGTAAGTACTACATATATTTTTTAGAATCTTCACAATGCCAAGGGTCAGGAGCATCTTGATTTTCTTGCTGTATTTGAGGGTCATACCAGGTAAAGTGAATTCCATCATTTTAAGAAAGCATTTCTTTCTGCTGCTCAGGGCCATTGTTAACTCTCTCTTACTTCCTACCTCTCCATGGATGGAGGAAACAGGCTTTTGTTAAAAAGGTCAGAAAACTAGGGCTCCATTTAAGAAAGCCCTGATCTGAAACCATGGATTCGGGATGGGGGAAAAAAAATCTCAACAATTCCAGAAGTCTTTGGGACTTGGTCAACTAGAATGGGGCAAAAATTATAAAGATGGTGTGGGGATTCTCGGGAAGACTGGGAAACTCCCGAAGATCTCCCTGGGAGTCCTCATGTTTGGGAGTTTACATCGTACCTTGACAAACCGAAATGCGGGCCCTGGGGTCAGGATGACGTTCTCATTGGTGAGCTGATACTCCATGTACTTTTCGAGACCCTCTTCTTCATAGATTCTCCTGTCGTCCACCATATTGAAGAGTGCCCGGGAAGATACAGCAATGGTGATGGCATGCTTGGGTTTGGGCTGCGGAGAAGGTCAAGGAAAAGAGAGTCAACACATGCAGAGAGGAGTAGGGGATGCAGCGAGAAAGGGAAAGAGGACTAAGATGGGAGGGACTTCCCTAGGAAGTTAGTGGGAGTGATCCGAGGGTCAGGATGCAGAGAGCCCAGGGATGCCTGAGGCCTGGGCATTCTCACCGGCCTGGGCCGTGCACAACTGGGGATCTTCTCATATAGCATGCTCACAGATGTCCAGTAGGCCTCGTCTACCTCATCTTCTTCCATCTGTTGCTGCTGCCGCTGCTGGGCCTCAGACAGACATTCCTGGTCCACATCCACTGAGGGCGCCTGATACTGCAGGCGGCGCTGGACGTAGGACTTCCACTCAGTAGGAGGAGTACGCGGATACTGAGACTTGGGTATTATCAGCTCTCGAGAGTCACAGCTGTGCGCATAGTCCCGTAACTGCACTTCTTTAGTATCTCTGGTTTCTCTGAGATTCCAGGGTTCACTGCCCCCATACATTTTCGAAGTCCGCCTGGAGTTGGGCTCTGGTTCCGGGGGTGTGGGAGGTTGTGAGTCAAGCTGGGTGATAGGTCTGGTTTGTGGAGTCTGTGATACGGTGAGCTTCTCTGGTGTTTGAGGTGGAAGCGAGGCCTCGTGCTGGCTGGGGGAGGCAGAGGAAGTTCCAGAGGTCGCGGTGCTGGTGGGGGCCTGCTGAAGAAATGGGGGTTGAAGCCCAGAACCACGAGGATACTAGTCTTCCACGTTGCATCTCCTAGCTCTAGCCTATTCCTAGACCTTGATGAATCTTAGTTCATTCTAGCTCCTTTAACTAGGCCATAGAGCAACCAAGCAGGCATTGGAGATGACTGTTTAGATGGACAGACTGTTCTGCCCTCATTCCTCTACCTCGCAAAGGCACATCCCAGGTGCTCCTTGTAGCATCTGCTATTTGGTTTTGAGTAAATACGTTCAAGTCCTTTTATCCATAAGCAACATAAATCATAGACCTTGCCTCCCTCAGCGACTCCAGCCGGCTTCATGCGCAAACTGGGCAAGCCACTGGCTCTAGAATGCCTGACTTATCCTGATCCTCTCTGGGTCTGTTTGCCCTGCCACAAGCATGTGACTGCTGGGAAGTCTGGGGAGTCACATGGTTTCAGGTTTGGTTTCCTTGAGATAACAGCAGAACTGATTATCTAAGCAAGCAGGGGGGAATTCTAAAGAAAGAATACCTTTCCTGGGGCTGCTCTGCAAGTTGGTATCAAACGAATATTCACATATTGCCTCCAATTATGTTTGTTCCACATGTGTGGGAGGATATTCTTGGTGAGATTATTGGACCAAATCTGACAGAATGTAAGTGTTGTGTGTGTGTGTGTGTGTGTGTGTGTGTGTGTGTGTGTATGTGTATGTGTGTGTATCAGTCCCATGGATTTGTTCTTTTCCATGTACCTGAAAAGAATCTCATAATTTTGCTTCTGTGGTCAGGCCTAGTTAAGGGCCTACAGAACACACAATGTCATTCAATTTTTTTCTTTTTTTTTTTTTTGTTGATTTCATCTTTTTTCATCCCTTTTCTTTCTTGAGATTCGTGTGTACCCAATTGTATTTGTTGTGTGGATGAAGGACAGGGAACACATAGCTAAAGGGTGTGTTTAATTCTGCTTTCTCTTACTTTGTAGTGTGGAAACTTTAGCAGCTTACTCTACAGGGCCTGAGCGCTTTGAACATCAAGTTCCAATAGATCTGTCATTCTTTATCATCCGTTCCGCTCTTTCATCACTAGTACCTTGGCAATACTATTCCTGCTTCTGGGCTCATCCACTGAGGGAGCGCCAGTGGATGGGCTCCGTGATGTTCTGGACCACTGATTTCGCACAATGTACCCTCGAGAGTCTGTGTTAGGTACAGGTATTTCTTGAGAACCCTGTGTAAGAGAAGAGACCCAGATATTTAATTCTTAAACACCTACTCTTTATATGCGTGTGCCCACAGAATAACCGTGACAGGCCTAAAATCAGCAGCAACCAGTGGGAAGATGCTTGCCCCCATTTCCATGACCCTTGATTTATTCTAGGTCCTTCTAGGTCCTTGTTGGACTGTTCTTGCTTTGGCCCAACCCTAACTTCAGTATGAAGTTACAAAGTGGAGATCCGCTTAGAAGAACATGAGCATCCAATATTAAGAAATCCTTGTGGGTGGTGATACTTGAACTATCTCAGGCACCCGTGGCAGTAGGACCAGGATCTCTCCCTTGTGCATGAGCTAGCTTGTTAGGGCTCATTCCCTATGGTGGGATGCCATGCTCAACCTTAATGGAGGGGGGAGGGGCTTGGCCATGCCCCAAATTAATGTGCCAGACTTTGTGGACTCCCCATGGGAGCCCTTACCCATTGGAAGGAGAAGATGGGGGAATGGGCTAGTGGTGAGGTGAGAGGGGCTGGAGGAGGGGTGGGAGGGAGAACTGCTGGTGGAATGTAAAATGAAATAAAAGAAAAATAAGTCCGTGCAGTAGCTCAGCGTTCCCACCCGTGACTCTTCTACTATGGCACATAGAGTTGATCACATCTCCACCCCGCAACATTCTCCCTTAAAGACCAAGCTACTAATAGAGGTTAAAATTTCACAGCTGTGATTTTACCATCCTGTAAAGTGAAGGCACCCAAGCCCCGGCTGCTGCAGGGACCTGTGACAGCTACAGCAAGTGCCTACAACCTGCCAGCCTGTCTCATAGTGACGCCTTGGAGAAGAGGCAAGTGGACTTATTTCTGTCCCGTATCCTTCCCCTACCCAGGGTGCCTGGGGCTCCCCTCCCAAATTAGTCATGAGATCTCTGCTCACCCTGATCATGGTGATCTGCCGGCCCTGCTCCCACAACAGGCACATGTGAATATAAATACGTATTGTGCGACAGGGGCTAGTTCCCTCAGCTGCACAAAGGCAGCGTCTACAGGCGTGGTGATACCGCATGGGGCAACATCTCAGCGAGTGATTCGGGTAGCCCGCACGCCTCATCTGAAAGATTGTGCAGAAAATGGGTCAATGAGATGGCCAGACTTCCCTTCCCTCCCTAATCTGAAGGGACCAGTCTCCTCCTGTTGGCCGAGTAGAGGAGACTGTGATGATGTTTCTATACTTCTCCTTCTGCGTGAAACAGGGGGACTGTGGACTGAAGGGAGGGCAGCTTCTCCTGAGTGTATCCCTGACGGCTTCACTGGACCTTAGTTACCCCATGGTGTGGATCTGAATGGCTCAGGTGTCTCTTCCGGAGTTTTTTTTCTTCTCATTCGCTTGAATTTTTTTTCATTGTGGTTTCTGCTCTCTCTTTTGGCTGTGCTGTGGAGAGTAGCTCACCTGAGTGCTCAGACGAGCGCCAGTTTTGTCAGGATCCTTTCTTTTCTCTGCATCTAGACTCTCTTTTGAGTACCTCATCCCAGGCTCATTCTTAATATGGAAACAAAGAATGTTTATTAATTTTGGTTCTCAGAGACATTAGAAACCTTGGGTTTGGAAATAAAAAGGGTAAGTTATGTCTAAACATTGTCTTTTTGCCAACATAAAAAAATATGTAAACACAATTTCTTTTTCATTCTAACAAGTATAAGAATACATTTTATAAATAAAAATTACATAGGCCTGTTGCTATATGACTCAGTCATTGCATAGGCTCAGAATATGAGCAGTGTTTATCATTAAAAATGACAACATGAGAAATGTAACCAGAGTTTTCCAGGGGTCAGCAACTCTGGGATTCCAATATTAAGTTGGTAATGCAGAATAGCTGTTGCTCCCCCTCTGTTTTTCTTAAGACCGCTAATTATGGAACTTTTCATTTTTCCATATAGAACAGAAACTCATCTAACTGACCCTAACCAATATTAACCTGATTTTTACAAACAATGACTTTAATCTTGTACGAACTTATTGGCAGAACATATTCTGAATGTCAATGTTTCTTAGCATCTATCTGAAAAGAAGATTTCCTATAAACAAGTTTCTGGGAGAAAATCAAGTACAGATAGGATGACCATTTCTTTCATGGAAGCATAATTAAATATTGATGGTTTCATTTTTAACTGGGAGGTACTTATTAGAACTCTGTTTGTACTAATGTATGCTAATTTGTTTGTACACCACGATTAATATTCGTGTTAAATGTCTGTTTCTGGAGCTCCAGGTGTGAGTTAGACCAATGTTGCCACAGAGACTTCTGTGCTCATTCATTACTCCCTGTGCCTGCCTGCCCAGGCTAGATGAATGACAATGTGACTTCAAGGAGTGGCTTAGCTGCATAATTATTGAACTGACTGAATTCTCTCCATCAATTAATTCCCATGCCCCCATTTCAGTCTCAATAATATTCTGTTACTTCTAGCTTCAAAAGATATTTAACTCCAACCCTTCTTCAGCTCTGTGCTAGGTCACAGGTCATCCTTCTAGGCTTCTAAAGCCTTGTCATTTCCAAATTCATCTCTGTAATTAAATGTAAGCCGACTTCATTCCTGGGTCAACTCTATATTTACTCAGGCACACCAAGAACCGCAGGATGGACCCCCCCACACACACTACCTCCTACTTCATTTTCTCCACCTTTTGCCTTATATTCTACTTAAACTAAGTAGCTTTTTCTTTTGGCATTTCCATGTAAACCATTTTTTCTCTTCAGTAATCTTCAAAGCTCAGCTCATCCCAGTCTGTGTCCAGAACTGAACGTTCCCTTGTGTCTTTATACACATTTCTCCGAGCTCTGAACTGTACTGTTTATATCTCTGTCCTACAGAGTGGTTGAACTTATTTCTTCATCTTAGCGGTGAGCATATGCTCAGCAAATGCTGGCTTACTAGGTTGACCTACACTCTCCCACTCCACCTCTTTCTTCTGTTCTCGCCACTCCCCTTTATGTGTCACCGTGATCTAGGCTTATTTGTTTTTTCAGAGCGTTCCCAGAGAGAAAGGATGGACTAATGTTTACATGTCCTCCGCCTCCCGGTAAGAGTCGAGGGCATGTCACTCATTCACCTTCTTTTTCTGTTTCAAAGATGTTTGACTCATTTCTTCAATTGTTGGGATGCTTTTGTTGTTATCAAGGTCTTCATCTCTCCAACCCCATTTCCTATCACCTCGCTGCTTCAGTCTAGCTCTGAATTTAGAATGCCAAATTTATGACATCATGTGTGATTCCATGGTAACTAACTGATGTCACAAATACATAATTATGCTTTTCTTTGGTGTGTGTGTTTGAATAGAGTCATGGCCTTCTTTCCTGTTTCAACATATCTGCTTACAGCCATTCTCCTGAAACTCTAGGAGTTGATGTGAAAACTGCTCTCATGTCTACTATGCAGCAATATCAGTACTTAGTAGTCTTCTAAAACCTTACTCTGACACTCCTCATATTCATTCTTGGTTCTGTACATCTTCTGCTATTGTTGAAATGAATAGAAAATGCATTTGTGGGTTCAAAAATTGTCTTTTTTCTGCAAAATTGGCAACTTCTTGACAGCTGAGACTCGATTCTAGTTGTGAAGTTTTGTTCTGAGCTTTGCTTTAGTGTGTGGCTCACTTTTATGGTGGCAAAGACTCTGAAGGAAACTACTGTCAAAGCTCCTCCCTCTGGCTGGACATAGTAGGATATTAACTATACTATCCACCTCTATCTTTTCTTATGTTATCCCAGTCCTTAACCTTTGAAATATATATTCCTTATTGTGTGAACAGAGCACCATATCAAAGACAAACCATCAGGCACTGTGTCTTTCTGTTCTGATTTTAATCTTCACACACATGTAGGTAAGATACATGTGTCTTGCTCACCTGACCTATTGAAACCATCAAAGACAGAGACCAATTTTTGACCTTCATAGAAGCTACTGATTGTCAAGTTTGAATAGCATTTTCCAAATGATCTTTTAGTGAGTAAAAGAATTCATGCCTCAGCTTTGAATTCTTTTACACCACCATGACCTCTACCACCATATCTTTCTGGGATCTCTAGCAGTTTGGTTACTTTTCCTAATATCAATTTCCTTAATCAAAAAATGCAGAAGTTAATTGAAGAAACATTAAAAAGTTATTGTTGGGGCTGGCAAGATGAGCTAAGTGAGTAAAGTGTTTGCTAGATAAACATGAAGACATGAATTTGGATCCTCGGCACTACTGTAAGAAGCTGTACGTGCTGGGAGCACCTGGAACCATAGCACTAAGCAAGGCAAAGCCAGGTGGCCTTAGGCACTCATTAACCTCTCAAGATGAGATAGATGCCCAGCTTCAGGTTCACTGAGAGACCCTGTTTCAAAACATAAGGTGGGGAAGCCATTGAGCAAGACATCACAATGACGACCATGACCCCCACTTTCATCCTTATCAGTGGACACACACACACCACACTTGTTGTAATTGTTGAAATATTGTAGAGTATGCAAAATATTGATAAGCAATAGAAATTAGCTATTATATTTGTTCATAATTTTTGTTATCATTCTGTTACTGTACCTATGTAGAAAAATTTAAATAATTTAGAAACGGCTGATATATAGTTATAAAGACAAAATATAAAAACACTTGTTGACCTAGATTTATGAGCTATCAAATGTCAATCTTGTGGTTCCTCCTATCCCCAACATGGTAGTCTTAGTGGAACAAGCATGGTGAAGTAGCCAGTTGACACATGCCACGCTGTGGGGAAAGGCTAACTTGCTTTCGACAGGTGTGGTTATAACTCAGTGGTAGAGCATTTGACTACAGGAGACAAAAGTTGTACAGAGATGATAGCTTAAACCAGACTATTTCTTGCTGGACTTTCTAAACCACCCTATCAACTTTGTCCCATTTCTTCTATATTTCTCCAGCTAACCCTGCAATTACATAGTTCAAATATTTCACAGTGTGTGAAAGAATAGGATTCTTTTTTTTTTTAAGACAGGGTTTCTCTGTGTAGCCTGGCCATCCTGAAACTCACTTTATAGACCAGGCTGGCCTCAAACTCAGAGATCCACCTGCCTCTGCCTCCTGAATGCTGGGATTAAAGGTGTGTACCACCACTACCTGGCTTAGAATATAATTCTAATAAGTACATAAATTATTTTATGGATTAAAATCAAAATGTATAGCTATGTTGTTTCAATTCAATTTCTGAAGGTGAAATTAAACAGCCCTTTCATGCTTATTTTTAGATTTATTTTACTATATTATTTTCTACTTCTTAACTTTGTTATTAAGCATGAAAAAGCACACATATGCATAGAAGGTAAGTCATTTATTTGGCTACGATTCCTTTCCCCAGAAGTTTAACCTTGCTCATAAAGGCAAATTGAAACATCATTATGACATTTTTGTGTGGCCTTCGAAGACCACCTCTGACTAGTTTTAATGATTTAATTATCATTGCCAGTTCTAGTTGTATATAATTTTTAAAGGAGATCCATAAATGGATTGGAAAGGAATGTTAGAAAACCACAAAACTAAGAGAGTTGTAAATCTGCATTCTTTATTTCTTTGGAGCAAATACATTCAGTTCGTGCAGTGGTCACGAAGGTCTACCCATTGAGTTGACAGTACTTTTCTCAACAGGATATTTCAGAAAGATTTCTGGCGCACAGTTTCCACCGGGTCATGCTTCCTCTAGCTGTTATTTTCAGGGACCATAGTGACACACATCTCTTGAAATTTTTGGAGATATTAGTAGACTTTTGGTTAGTCTGGAGCTATTCAAAGTGTAAGACAAAGATCGAGTCAACGAGGAAATTGCTCTTCAGGGAAGACCGCAAAGGTTTGTTTTCTTCACCTTTATTACCCTGTGGAAATAAATATGGCGGTGAGTGGCTCTGTTTCCTTAATAGATTTTTATGTCCCGAGGTCTACTCATTTTACTGAGTCTAAAGACACGGGAACGCATAAAAAATGTCAACAACCCTTCCTGCTGTATTTAACATGCTTTCAGTTATGCAGAAACACAGGCTTAGAGGCGATGAGACTTCAAAAGTTTCACCATCATCATGGGTTGCATGCTTGCTCCCGGGAAGGCCACTTCCCAGTCTGCACTGCCCTACCGCTGGAGTGTCCCCACATGGCTGAAACTGTTGTCTGATGATGGGAACATGCAGATTTACAAACTGGCCAAGAAAGGCCTGACTCCCTCCCAGATAGGCATGATCCTGAGGCACTCACATGGTGTGGCACAGGTTTGTTTTGTGACTGGTGATAAAATCTTGAGAATCCTTAAGTCCAAAGGCCTTGCCGCTGGACTCCCTGAGGATCTCTACCATTTGATTAAGAAAGCAGTTGCTGTCTGAAGGCATCCTGAGGGGAACAGAAAGGATAAGGATGCTAAATTCAGTTTGACCTGATAGCAGAATTCATAGGCTCGTTACTGTAAGACTAAGCGGGTCTGCCCACCCAACTGGAAATAGGAGTCACCCACAGCCTCTGCCTTAGTGGCATAAATTCTGTTGTGTATAAAGCAATAAAATCACTTTGAATTAAACAATTTTCAGAACTGACGAATTTACCAGCATCCATGCACAACTAGAAAACATCCTTAATTTACACTAAACCAGAAATGTATTACCATTGATGCAGTAATAGCGTTCATTACTAAATACTGAAAATAAAGTTGAAATATTTCTGCAGAAGGTTCATCTGGCAACATTAGCTTCACAGCAGGCTGACACTACTCACTCACAGTTCAACTCAATGGGAAGCAGATCCATGCTGGTGTCAGAGAACAATCTTTATTAAGCAATGAAAGTAATTCATAGACAAATGACCCTCCTCCATCATGGGGTACCTCTGGAGGTCACTGGAATCTCACATCCAGTCTTTCCCACTCTGAGACGACACAAACAATATCTTCAAGCTGTGACTTGGACCATAGAACTCCATGTCTCTGAATACTCGTAGGCAAAGTTGATGTTTCTTCCATGACAGCTCTCATCTCAGCTCATCTCCCACAGCATTCTCTTTGTCTTACTGTCTCCAGGTCTATGAGCGAAGAGTCGTCTTAAGTCAAGACAGGTAAACTCAATGTTCTGTCTGCTTAATGGACCTCATACATCTGCATGGCTCAACTGCTCACTTCACCTGGCCTTCTGAACCCATGGCACCTCACAGAGGTCTCTATTGTCAAAACCAGCACATTCCTTTCATTACTTCTATAACTCTTACCCTGATTTACTTTTATTAACAACAACTGTTTTGACCTGACTCTATTTCACAAGATTTTATTTATGGATCATATCTCCTGGACTCACTGAAGTGAAAGGAGGTTTTGAGAGAAGGCCTTTGTATCCTTCTCATGTCTGTTACTTCATGTTCCAGAACAATTAACTAGCAGGCACTTTGCTAAATGTTTGCTTAATGGATACATGAATCTATTAGGGAAGTAATTTATTAGCAATGGTGAGAAAGGCGCAGGGCCCTGTGTGAACATTATTGGTGCTGGTGGGAGGGAGAGGTCATTTTCTTATGCATTAGAGAGGCAATGCCAGTGCACAGTGTGTGAAAAAGAGAATTGCTATATTTCTTGGAAGATTTCATTTTATTATTTACTGTGTGTATGTGTGTGTGTATGTGTGTGTGTGAGTGTGTGTGTGTGTGTGTGTGTATGTGTGTGTATACAAATGACCTAGGAGGTTAGAGGGAATCAGATCTCCCTGTATCTTAAGTTACAGGTGGTTGTGAACTGTCTATTGTGGGCACTGGGAATCAAACTCTGGTTCTCTGGAAGTGAAGAAGAGATCTTAACCATTGATTTATCTCTCTAGCTCCTAAATTAGTAGTCCCGGCTGGTCTCAAACTTGTGGTCCTTTGTATCTGCCTCTTCCAACACCATTGGATGTTTCTTTTCCTTACTTGCCGTTGTAAGCACTTTATCCAGGGAATAGTCATTATCATACTCGAGAAGGCATCAGATTATGTGGAGAGCCTATAAAATGTGATTTCTGCAGGCTAATTAATAATTTAATTATTATATATCCACTCTTGGAATACTAGTTAACAGTTAAAAAAGAAACCTATCAATACAGCTAGTCACATAGATTATTTTCTAGTGAAAA